CCCAGGTGGCAGTTGCAAAAACTGAGTCTCCAGACAAGTGTCTATGCTCCTTTCTGGAAGATACCAGTGAGCTGTAGTAAGGCAGAGGGAAAACACAAAGATCTTGCAGAATATCTCCACAAGCCTCTAGATGTCTGCCAAACTGGAGCCTGCCCCTCAAGCCGAAGCCCCAGGACAGGCAGACAGACCTCTTTCACAGAGAGCCTGAGGGTATGTTTCAGTCTGCTCTCTGTGCGGTGCTCTGAGAGGTGGTCACTTACCAAGAATGGTCTCTGATTGTTACGGTCCCATGGGACCCAGGAACACAGCTCCCCTGGCCTCTAGAGCCAGATGATCAAAGAGAGTCCCTTGGCAGCACCCTCAAAGACTGGGACACTGGATGCATGTAAAAGCTTCCCTCTGGACAATACTGGCTCTCCGTAGCACAGCAGAGGGAGAGCATGGAACTGGCACCAGCCAGCTGGAGTGAGGCAATGGCAGAGGGTACAGATGGTGCCCGCCAAGGGGGACAAAAAAGATGGTGCCTACCCACTGGAGCAAGGCAGAGGGAGAGTATGAAGATGGTGCCTGCCTCCACCCCAAAGAGTACCCCAGCAGGCCCCAGATGTATGTTAAATAAGATGCCTGCCCCTCTGGCCGACATCGAAAAGTTAGTAATGAGCCTCTTTCCCATGAAGACCGGGTGCCTCTCCATCAGCTGCTTGGGCCCTGGGATAGATGAGTCCAAGTGTGTGAGCCCTTTCAGAGCTGTTTCTCTGTCTGCTACAGCCTTGTGGGTCTCACGGATACGAGATCTGTTGGTTTTCAAAGCTATTGTTTGGGGGGGCTTATCGTCCAGGTGCAGGTCTTAAAAGCTGGGGTGCCTGATGTGAGGGTCAAACCTTCACTCCTCAAGGAGAAGCTCCTGGTTTTGAGCTCCTTCCTGAGTGTGGTTCACCATGCTGGGGATGGCGTTCATGGGAACACTGTGTCTCAGCCTCTCCTCCCCATTTTGATGTGGTTTTTCTCATTTGACCAATGTGTAGGAGTTGCTTATCTACTTTGAGGTCTTTTCAGAGGAAAGTGTTCCACATGCAGCTTGAGATCTGGTGTGTCTATGGGAGGACGTGAGTTTAGGATCTCCCTACATCGCCATCTTGAACTGGAACCAGAGATGAATCTTCTTAAGTAACACAGCAAACATAAATAATACAGCAAAATAGCACATTTCAGCAAGAAATAATTATTTGCAGAATAAATTTCTGAATCCAAGGGACTCAACCATCCATTTAGTTGGTTATTCTACTATCCCCTGTGGTCTACTGGTCCTTCTACTAAACGTGCTGCGTGTGTGCTGGCCGCAGGGCTGGGCTGGGAAGGGAAAGGGGATTGGATAAAGGGAAATTGCTAAATTAGTAGCCAATTCAGATATAGCTTTCACCAACTTACGGAACCATGATTTTTAAATGATTATTCAGGTATCTATGGGGAAATATGCAACATGAACATATATTGATATTTTAAATAAGTTCCAGAAAAGAGAAAATTTTCAGAATCCTGCTCCCTGGTCTATATCAAAAACTGAAGATATTTAAGACTTTCTCACAATCTGTATTTTCATTCTGAGATGGCTCCTCAGAAGTCTCCAGTGACTAGATTCTCTTCTTTAAGACTTGGGAGGTAGAGTTTATGACAACCACCCACCACCTCTTTCTCCCTCACGTTGGCCCATCTTTTCCTAAGGGCCATAGTCCTCAACTGTGTAGGCTGAAGATAGCATTAAGGATTAGGGCAGAACAACAGATGTCAACCTGGCTCTTTGAACCTAGATAGTTCCCAGCTCAGTTTCTCTTCCTCACCGGCCTTATTCACTCTAGTATAATCGTATAGACACTCATTCTGCACCACAAATAAGCATTTGCCTTTACATTCTCCTCCCTCGGCCCTGCTCCCCATCCTACTGCAGACATCCAGCAAGCAAGCAGCTAGCCCAGAGTAAAGCTCTATAGCTGTTATTCTATTCCTTATAATTTATAAAACTACTGGATCCTGAAGAGGACCTTTATTCAGGTAGATAATTTCCATCTCAGATAAATTCTGGAGAATATATCCAATTTTAATATCTCTTATCTGCCTCTGACCTGTCTCCTACTTTACATGCAGTAAATATGAATATTTGTTATAAATACTGTCCAGCAGCTCAAATGACACATTTCAGCAAATCCAGGGAGTATAAAGTTGGTACCACTTCATCCCCTACCCTGTCACATAGATTAGCTTTATTACTGTCTGAAAATAGCATTTACAAGCTCAACAGGGCAAAGGAAAAGTCTTAGTGGAATATTTATAGCAACAGTTTCAGTCTGATGGGTTTCCTCTCATCTCAGTATGCTTATATAGCTTTGATCTCTTAAGTCCTTCCATCAATAAATCAAACTAATGCCAGCAGCAGTCAAATAAAACTGTTACACAGCTAGTCCACTTTCAACGTGACTTAAGTCAGGGCATTTTGGACTTCTGGTGCATATGAATCACTGGGAGGCCCTGTAAACTGCAGATTCTGAGGCAGCAGCTCTGGGACAGGACCCGAGAGTCGGCATTTTTAACATGTCCCCAGTTGACGCGGAGGCTGCTGGCTCAGGTTTCACATCACTAAAGAAACAAGATTTTAAAGCATTTACGTTTGTCCTAGCTACGTCACGGTTCCCCTTCATGAGTGTGCAGAACGAAACATTTCTGAAATGTGCAGACATAAGCTTACTCGCATCTGAGAACAGATAGGAAAAGAAAATAGGAGCACTATGTAAATAACTCACAAAGAGACGATAACCACTAATATAAAATCATAGCAGAATATCAAACACTGAAGCCAAATACATTAAAAAATTCAAAAATAAAAAGCAAAGTAATTTTTCTAATAATGGAAGTATTTATTTTCACAAATATTTTAAAACGTAGCTACCTTTGAGCAACCAAAGGGAAAAGCAAAACAAATACATGTTCCTGTATGTTTTTGATACAAATATAAAACATTTAACTCAGTTCTAGTTCGTTAGCTCAGCTGACTGCAAATAGCTCAGGAAAACCAATTGTAGGTAATTCTGTTGGTGTATGCGGAAAAATGTAATGAACAGTGGTGACTTAAGTAGAGTATAAAATCCATTTAGATGGTAGATTGGTCAGCAGGGGTGGGTGAAGCGCGAGCTGCCAGTGTCCCTAACACACTGGACATGAAGCAGGAAACTGAACTGTCAGTTGGAACACACCTAAAACAAACTCTGGCTGGTGAGATAGTTATTGTGTCGTTCAGACTTTGATAACATGTTAAAAGATTGACAGATGATTGCCCGGGTGTAGATCTAAACACAGATAACCAGCACTTTCACAGAGTGAATTCTCAGGGACAATCAATTTGTCCACAGCTACATTTTTTCCTGAAATGATACCCCCTTTGCTTTTTTTCTGAGAACTGAAAGCTAGATATATACCTTGTTCTTTTTCTTCATACACCTGTCAGCAACAATAAACAATGACCCGTTTTCAGATGCTATAGATTCCCTAACCTGTGTCAACCCCTTTGCAGATGCTATAGATTTTCAAACAAGTTATGAACAACAAACAGCTGTAGCTGTGGTGCTTGTTAGACATAGTTTGGGATGAAGACGTCCCTTTCTACCAAATGGTACATGTTTTCTATGGAATAAAACACACAAATTCACCCACATATAGTTACAAGTGTTCAAGCATTTACCCTCTCTGAACAAGACACTTTCTCTAGGACAAAACGACTAATTCATTCCCCAGAATGCCCCACTCCAACATCAGTGCACGTGTGTTCATGCACGTACGCACACACATATGCATCTAAACCCATGTTTACATAAAAAAAATCTAATACCTGTTTTTCATATAAAAAAATCCATCTGCCATTGTTCAAAGAAAGTACTATTTTTTCCTATTGGATATTTTTAATATAATCCACTTATCTTTGTGTATGGACTGTCTTTCCTCTTCCATATATTTTATAGAATTTAGAGAAAAAATGGTGAAAAATGATAAGGATTAGAATATAAATGCATTTAGGTAAGTAATACTAAAGACACATAAGTCTAAATCTTTTCTCTGATACCTAAATACTGTTAGATGCATTTCTGTATGAAGGTTTTAAAACCTGAGTCGCTGACTGGATATACAGATCTCGTGTGAAGGGAATACGTATTTCCTCATCCAATTCTTTTGAATAGTTTGTACTTCAATTCTTGACCTAAGAAGGCCTCAACTATTTAAAGAAATTTCCTTCATATTTCTTTTAGATCTACCTGCCTACAAATATCTGAATGCAAAGAGAGTAGATCTTTCTCTCAATCATCAGAAGAGGATGTCTAGAATCTCATCTTGACTGGCAATATCTTAGAGGAATATTTTTTCCCCTCCTAGTTAAACAGAAAGACACTAAATCAGAATGCTTTGCGTATCTTCAGGTTTTCAAGAGGTCCTTCCAAACTGGTGGTATCTTGGTTTGGGGTTTTCAATATCTACTCTGCTGGAAGCTAACGTGAGGATACCAAGTTATTGTTAATTTTAGTAACCAAACAAACCACTTACTAATTCTTTGTTCCATAAGCCTCGGTGTGTAAAACACTAGACAGAACCTGGTCCATCTTCCCTTTCTATGAGAAACTTTTTAGAAGGCCTAGTGCTCTCTGCAGTAAGTGAACCCCTGCTAAAGAAAGCAGGATTACCTAACAATAAAGAAGTAAGTCTCCTAATAAAAAGGAAAGATCCCTCAAAGCCTAGAACTTAAGTCTGGCTGCTGTAAAGGATGAAACCAAAGATCTTTTTTGCTTTTCTTCCAATTGGCTTAAAAAATTAGCCTAGGAGAAAGTGGTCAAGATTGAATTCAGAAAGAATATTTCAGAAGGAAATATGGATTCATAAAGAGATATGAATTTGGATAGAATACTTCAGACACAAAATTAGGGTATACAATTTATGACACAACAGGAACTAGGCAAAGCATAGGAATTTAAGGAAGAACATCTTTTAATCGTTGAAACCAGTCTTTCTGAGATGACCATGAAAGCAAGAAATATTACAACAAATAACTATTAATGCACATTTTCCTCTTTGTAATCTTCCTACATTATTATCATGTACATCTGTTAATGCTAGCAGAGCATTCTGAAGTTGCCAAGCATAAGTTGTACGTATCTGAGCAGAAAGATCAAAATCTACTCAGATTTCCAGAAGAGCAGCAGAACATGGAAAACGACAAAGTCCTTAAACATAAAGAGCTCAAAGTGATGTCCATTTGCTAGTCAGTGACAAAAATAGAAGCCCATATTGTTGTAAAGAACATGGTTATCAGGCCTGCTGTTGCTGTACAAAGAATTCCATAGAGAAGGAAACGTAAGTAACGTATGAGCGAGGGCTCACAGGCCAATCATTTACTTTCCATTTTTAAATGTCTTTCAAAATAGTTGATGCTCATGGAATGCAATGTACTGACAGTCCTGGGGTCTGTCTGTTGCCACTGAACCGGGACACTGCTCAGGGTGATGGGGTCTTCCCATGATGGGGAAGACAAGCTCAGTGTCGAGGATTTGTTTGGAACAGCCACTCCTCTGCTGAATTTGCCACCAGGGAATCAATGAGTGAATCAGTACCAAATAAAAATAATTGGGTCATGCTCAAGCCAGGTCCGTAGAAAACGAAATCAATTGGATTGGACACATGATGAATTTTAAAAGTGCTTTTTTTGTTCAAAGTATGGATTATAATGACATCTTCGTAATCCTTCAGAAATGGGCTGCTGCTTAGTGCAAAAAAAAAAAATGCCACCGTTTCTTCAACTATAACATAAGGTGTGTTTCGCAAAAATAAGGCATATTAAATCTTCATTTTGTAGGTTAATATTCACAAAGGTCCTGACATAGCTGGTGCATAAATGTAAAGACTCCTTGTCGCCTGGAAAATAGAAGAAATGTTACTCCTTATCGGAAAGCAGTGGAAAGATAAAATGGGTAATACTCAAATTCTATACATCCGAGATATCGTATTTTCAATCATTTAGCCCAGTTTCTCAAGCTGCAGAGAAACGTTCTCTGATGCACTCATGAATAAGGCGGTTGTGTTCCCATTCCCGGATCCCTGGGAAGGCCCCTTCAGTCTCAAGAGCTGCACAAAGCTGGATGAGCATGCCACCTGCCCTGGATGAGCATTTCCCTTCAGACCACCTTCCACTGCGAGCCATTTAAACTGTGGCTTCTGAAGGGACTATTGGCTTATTCTCTTTGTGGTCCATTCAGCGGAACCACGCTCTAGCCACCATCTTACGCTTTATTTCCTCTTGTACAGTCACCTCCTTAGTTTTTCAATTGTTTATAAACATGCCCAAAGGCATAATTTTTATGATCCTCAAAATTGAGGCTTCTTTAAGGAACTCTGTATCTATGATTCTTCTAAATCTAGTAAATCAAGTAATCTATGTAGAAAAAATTTCTTCTCTACTCATAAAGAAAAAAAAGACAGTTTTGTAAAGAGCAGTAACTTTTCCTTATAACTGTCAAATGTTTAAGCAAAACTAATATACTTGTTGACAAAGGCACTCTGAAAAGCTTTCAGTTCTTCACCTTAGCCACATACAGATGCAAGGAATCTGACATTCAGGGTTTATTAAGCACTGATGAAATTTATCATGTAATTTTAATAGATAATAATACAGAAAAACTTTTACAACTACTATATGTCCTTTTGAAAAACATACTTTCCCACTAGAACAAGTTTTTTGTTGCGATTTGGCTTTTCAGTGGATGATCTTTTCTATCCTATAAATGGTCATATGAATCACTTTGTTTAATCATTACTCATTTGCTTGTTTCTGGACTAATGATAGGTCTTAAGGGTGATGCAATATTTCCTTATTTATTATAATGCAAATATATTAGGTCAGCATTTTGAATACACTCTGTCCAACAGATTGTAGGCAGAATTGTTCAGTCTTCTTTCCAATGAACAAATAGTGGCAGAAATAATCAGAACAAAGATTGAGCTGCTTTCCCAGACACAAGCTATTAATTTCACAAAAAAAGAAACATTGCTATGAAAATTCCACTTTATTTTTTTAATCTTCAATTTGACTGATTCACACTCTGAAAATGGACAGCTTTGCACTGCTAAAATTTACAATTTTCTGGAATGTCTCCAGAAAGTAGAATGCATGCAGATGAATCCCTAGCTATTGGAAACGCATGAACTATTGGAAACTATTAAGGGTTAGATGTGAAAATTCACGTAAAATATTTATTATGATCTTGACACATAGTAAAACTCAACAGTTATCACTGGCAGCTCCAGAATTTCAGTGTAAGACAGCTGAGGGTCAGCAGCCTCATTGGAAGTAGAGTAAAAGGACTTGTTTTGAAGCTGTGATTTTCGTGGCGAGTATGTTGCTTTTATTTAGATTTTGTTTTGAGGTGCCTGAGAAGGGAGGGCTATGGAAAATCCTGCCCACACGAATGCCACCTATGATCATTAAATAAAGCTTCCCTTTACGAAAGATAGGGTCAGGCATTCATTCCTTTTTATGCAAAAAGTGCACAGGCACTGATATCTAAAGCACAGAGGCCCGAACAACCTCTACCATTTTTCCAAAACTCAAATCTTGTCCACATTTACCTGACTTTTTCTTCAAATTTCTGAGTAATTTGCTTTTACTGCATTGAACACTGTTTTCTCCTATTCTCTTGTCCTCTTATATTCAAGCTTTAGCTCATGAAGTTTCACTGTTCATCCAGCTTCCACAGCAGACACCTGGGGTGAACACTCTGATTCTGCTCAAAGCCTGGCCAGGATGTCTAGATGCAACAATCCTGCATTCATATAACTTCAGTGTTTATTTTTTAAACAGCATACTTTTATTGTATTTTCTCTAACATTTATTATTGAGTTTTTACTTCTCATTAATTTCAGCGTCCCCAAATAGCTACCATTTTTAACTTTACATTACCTTTCCTAGTCAATGATACATTATTTGTGATTTTTAGAATAATTAACTAGCTATAAATAAACTAGAAGTGAGAAGTCAGAATTTGGCACAAAAGCTGTATATGTACGAACTTTTCAGAGGAGACCCTTTCATCTTTCACCCCATTCCTCACAGAATGAAAAATGTAACCTAGTGATCCACCTGATAGTCACAGGCCTTATTTACTCAGTGTCTTCATTTATGTCTTAATTTACGTGAAGAATCTCAAAACTTCAAGGATGTAACACAAAATGATAGTCGGCTAGACATTTCCAGAAATGTTTTCAGCCTAATTTATAACCCCTCTTTGATAAAATGAAAACCAGTAATATATAAACTCTGTTACTGAAGCAATAGACAGTTTTTTGTATGCACTTACTTATTTTACTTTCTTTGCTCTGCACGCACAGTATGAAATCATAAAAGCAACAAACATCACCACACCAACACTGAGTAAGACCATTTCTACCAGACCAAGGAGGCTTATTTTTCCAGTCACTTGTTTTCTGAACATTTTTGCCTTCTCATCGCCAATGGTGCCAGTCTGTAATCAAGTCAATAATTAGCATTATTTGAGTAGATTAGTGGTGCAAAATACTCAAAACTTTCCACTTATATATCACTCTGTTCTCTAAACACCTGTACAGTGTTAGTCAACTGTATCTACAAGACAAGCCAATGGAATCCCCTTTGTATGTCTAAGAAGGCAATAAATGCCAAGGTGGGATATTTGGAGAGTAAACTATAACCCTCCTCCCTTTAAACGGGTTACACAGCACTCCTCAGCATGCTAGGCCTGACTGATCTTTAGAACGGCCATATGGAAATATTTCAGTTTTCCAAAGGATGTTTGTTTCCTCGTGCCAGAGGGAAACGGCAAGAGTGAACAGCCTCACTTCCTCTAGAGGCTCATGCGAGGCGTTTCCCAATTCTGCAGCTAATCAATTCCATGGATTATGTTGGAAATGTCTTGTCAGGCGATGGGACAGCCTGCCTGTGCCTGCTCTAATCCTGCCTCCCTAAGACTGGCTGGCTTCTACTGCATTACAATACCCAGTGAGTCTGGCGTTATTTGGAGTTACGTAGAGTCACGACTCTCTCCTAACACGGCACTACATCAAGAAAAAGTGCTTAATAGATGCATTTTGAAAGTACTCCAATATTATAGGAGGCACTTTGTCTTTCTAAAAGAAAAATGCTAAAAACTAACTCAAATTTGATCATTAATAATATATAAACTCATCCATATGGGCAGTAGAAACACATTCAACTTCAAATACTATACGTACATATTCAATTTTAAAACACCAAGAACTTTTTTTATATACAAAGAAGTTTGCTGGTTTTAATGACTAACGGGTAAAAAATACTAACCTCATTAAGCCAAAGAATAGGTACAATATAGTTCCTCTTCAAACTCTTTAATGCCCTGTAATAAACATTGAAAATAATTGTAAAAATATATACCAATATGTTACACATGTATAATAGAAAGTTTAGTAGTAACTAGTGTAAATAAATGTTCAGAAATTAATTGCTCTTGAGCATGGTTAAGTTTCTTGATTTTTGTGCCCTGTAATAAATCATTTAAATTTTAAACGGCTGTTTCTCAGACATCTTTCACTATTATAAACTTTTATAAATCAGATTTCTAATTAGACTGACTTTTTCTAAGTACAGATTTCCCTTTTCAGTGAATTCTACCCAGGAAAGTAACATATGAATTCTAGAAACTATTTGGATATTCCAGAAAGTATTTGGGTAGCTGGCAAAATGAGATGCCACCAAATACTCAAATTAAAAAACATTCCAAAATATGTACCATTTCAATAAACAGGAAAATACATGAAATATACCATTTCAATAAACACTAGATATAATTCTAAATTACAAATAAAAGTTATCCTAAGCATTTAATAATGATTATTTAGTACCTGAAGCCAAAGAGAAGTTGAAACATTATATTCTTCCCACTTACTTTCATAGATTCACTCACATTCTTACAAGAAAATACTAAAAATAGGGTAATGATAACCTTGTTCAAGAGACTCACTCAATTTTTCTTGATGGCTTGACCAATATGTTGACCTGCAGCCGTTTTGCAAATTGTAAAGTGAATCCAGTTATCTAAAAAGAGAACAAACTAAAATAATCACCAACTTCTTTTAAAACATTCCATTCTAATACCCAAAACTTAATTTTACTGTTATATAGATCTTAAGGTGAAACTGTCCTACTTGCAACTTGTGAAATCTATTAAATAATTAATTGAACATATTAAATATTTTGCATACATAATTATCCACGATCACATTTTACATGTATAGGTGTGTGCGTATACACATACACGCATATGTACACACATGCATATAAATGTGCACACACACAGTTTCTTTGCCTGACCTTGTGTTGAGGTTTTAGTTAGATTTGTGATATTTACCAGGAAGGGTTTTTGGGGCCTCAACAACAACAGTACTGAAACATAAGAACTCATGTGGTTAATTTAACACCTGAACTGTGCACGGTCAAATCCACATATTGTTCAGCAATCCCAGTATTGTTTAATTATAATCCTTCTTCTGTCATTATTTAAAACAAAACACGACCACGAAAACTCTGGCATTTCTTTTAACTTTTGAAAAGGAGAATATTAAAATAATTTAAAAATTGAAACTGTTGCACTATAGGAATTTTGATAGATTTTTCTTGACACTAACTGTAATAGTTCCAGTTTCAAATTTACATATACCCATAAAATCTCTCTTATCCCTCATAACATGTGTTTCTTCATATAAGCAATACTTACAGTTAAGTATAAAATAAATGTAAAATAGTAATTTATATCAAATTGTCTTAAGCCAATGAGAACCATTTCCATCATTGGTATTCCTGATTTATGAACCACTAAAAAGGCTTATAAAGTTCCATATGCTGAAAAACTAAAATTGAATTACCTTGACATTTCACAAGCAATAGAAATCAACGTAATTTTCACTGAAATAAAAGTAATTCATCAAGACTGTGATTCAATAAATGTGATCGACAAGGAGAGAATGCATTTTTTTATTTCATTTTAAAAAAACAGTATTAAACAAATCAGATCAAATAATATATTCGCTTACGGGTTCAACATCTAAGTACGTGCTATGTTCTTCTTCATTTGGATTTAAGCCTTCAAAAGATTCTAGAATTTCAGGACTTGCATGCAGAAAATGAGGAAGTGAAATGTAGACGGGTCTTCCTGGAAACAAGTTTTAAGAGACAGTTGGGGATAAATCATTTTCCTCATTTCACATACCACTCAGAAAGATGTCCTCGAAAATAAAGCTTTTTAAATTAAAAGAATACTTAGTTGGGTTTGAGTACTAAATGGGGGATGAGAGTTAGGAAGAATTCTAACAACTGATCACTACTGTACAAAAATAAAATATAAAATTCTACATCAACCCACTAACCAGTCAGCCAATGTCTTGTTCATTCCTTAGATGCTAATTTTCAATCTGTAAAGTTTAGCTGCCGAACATAAAGTTTCCACCATATACATTCATGTTTCAGGCAAAAATATGTCTTTGAACTGATAATTAATTTCTTTAATTTAAGAACTGTCTCTTTCTCCCTTCACACCCACTCCAATACGAAGAATGTGAGCAAAATAAGAGACTCCACATTTCATGTTTAAGTCAATTCTTGTTTCAGAAACACACTGAAAACATATTTATTTACCATTTTCTAGGGAAGAAAAAGTTAGAAAAAATGGCAGACGGATTTTGGATGCTCAAAGTATTCAGGGAATTATTTTCATTTTACCCTAAATCTATAGGGAGCATAAGGATTCTGCACAGCAAAAGAAACTGTCAAAAAAACAAACAATGAAAAGGCTACCTATGGAATGGAAGAAAATATCTGCAAACAACATTCCCAATATGTAGTTAATATCTAAAATATAGAAGGAACTCATGCAAACTCAAAAAAAAAAAAAAAATAGCAAAAAAACTCCAAATAATCCACTTAAAAAAAGGGCAAAGGACTTAAAGAGACATTTTCCAAAGTAGCACAGGGAAATACTGGTATAGTTTTACCTAATAATAACTAAGTTTTGCAACACCAAGACACAACTGGCATCTCAAACAACACAAAATCTAAACAAAAGTTTCCTGGCGCCACCCTTACTTTCTGCCCTTACCGCTTTCTCACTTTGAATTTTCAGTGGAAAGGGGTCTTGGGTAAAGGTCACATTTTAAAGAATACTGCAAATCGGGTCACGGACTGTGATACTGAGAACACTCACTCACCGTCTTTGCATTTAGCGATGTTCAGCACGCCGTACAACGTACAGTTTTTTGAGACGATTTTCTCCGTGCAGAAGCAGTGGTTATCCGGATTCTGAAGTGGAGACGCAAAGGCCTTGGATGGAAGAACGAATCTATACACGGGAATCCCTTTCAGATTAACGTCAGCTCCAAACACGGCGTAGACCGACCTGGACGCAGGGAGAAAGACCTCCACTCTCAGAACTTGAACCGCAATCTGGAGATTCCCTGTTTTCTTACTTTCAGATTTATATTCTTGCTTTGATGTAGAAAAACTGAATACACTCTTGTTAGAATTCTTGTTTAATTTTCAGAAAAAAGTTCTGGTGAGATTTTAAACCATCCAGGAACTCAATACTTGAGTATGAGCTATTCTCACTTTTGTTTTCCAAAGCTACTAACTTCTGCTTGTGAACTACCATGGAGCATTCCTACTGAAGACCTTTCTCGTACTTAATTTCCTCTATAGATTAAATGTTTATATGAATCCCTCACGTCCTTTATCTGTGCCCAGTTTAAAAGAAATAAAAATAAAATTTCTGTCTTTCGAAACTTAATCCTGGAGAGAAAGGCCACCCGCTCACTGGGGCCTGTGCGTGTGAACGCTGGATATGCATCTCCTAGGCCTCTGTCATTTACCAAGTGTCCCCCAAAACCTCGGCAACCGTGCTGGGGCTCGACGTACATACCTTCTAATCCCCAGACAGCCCTACATGAAGAAACACTGTTCTCTTCAATTTGACAGATAAGGAAAAGATTCAGAGATATCAGAAGGTTGCCCACGACCACAAAGTCTGTAGGAACAGGGCTAGGATTCAAGCAAACTGGTGTGGGCTCCCAAGCTTGTGTGCTGCCTTCTGGGCCCCATCGACTTGAGAAGATGCTGTAGTGGCAGCAGGCACATTAATTTGCATAGTTTGTGACAGGGGCATCACCTTCTCTGGACATCTTCAGAAAGATCAGGCATGCCCTTCTAGACTTGACTGATATTAAACATACTACTAGTTTAGTAAAATAAAAATATTTCTTGCTTAGAAATGACAAAGAAGAAAATGACTTGTATTATGCAAAATATCCTTTTACATCCTTCAATATTTTAAAGAGTTAATAAACACATTATGGATTCCATATTGTATTTATTCTTAATAAATCCAGAATAATTTCCCTAAGTGTATTTTATTTTTCTCAAAGAACATGGTTATTAAGTATGAGCTTCTTGTCTGTGTTTTGTCATGTGGGGAGAGAAATTTTGACTCATAGAAATACATTGGAGTCTTTGGCGTACCTGCAAATGTCAGAGGAAAAGAATTGCAATACCCGGGTCTTCTCAACAAAAGGTGGAAACGAGGCTGCGTCTGTTTAAAAATCAAGCCAACAGCAAGGGATTAGATGTAATGTGTGTCATAGAAAAATCGAGAAGTCTCTGTTACCACATAGTCAATAGAAATATAATGCAAACTGTATATGCGATTTTAAGATTCTCTGGTACCCACATTTTTAAAAAGTAAAAAGAAACATATATTTTATTTAAGCCAAAATATCATTTTAACAAGTAATCAATATAAAAATTAACAAAATCTCAAAATCCAGTGTGTATTTTTCACTTACAGCACATTTCAGGTTGTACTAGCCACATTTCAAGTGCATAAGAGTGACATGTGGCTAGCAGCTACCAGATTCAGAAGTCTGTAAACTATACACGTTCATTGTACTTTCGTATTACATTTTCTCACTTCTTAAAAATAAGTGAGGGCTTAAAAAATAGTGGCAAAATCACATCTTAAAACTGTGACTGTGTTTTTCTGAAATCCACCCCCTCATCGGTGGAGGGGCACGCTTCTCACCATAAAGTTCAGTCAGAATTCCTGTTGGGATCTTACTGTCCTTATTTTGATAGAGGTTCATTCATCTGACCTAATGGTTGATTAACGTTTCTAAAATCATTCACTAAAGTTCTCTCACAAAACAGAATTTCCTGCAAATGGTTTGAAAACATATGAATGCATCCAACTACAAAGGGCCTTTGCTGAGTTTATGGAATTTCTCCCGGGGTTATGGCACACACCGGCTCTGTGAAGAAGCAACTAGAGGACTCCTACATTGGCCCCTCAAATGAGAACCGTCAGAAGGAGCTGCCACTGAACGTGTTTGTTCAAAATGGCAAGACCCATCCTTCAGATATGAATTCCAGGTTCTTTTTCTGGTAAGTGCCCCGACCTCATGACCTTATGAGATCTCATTTAGACCCCTGTGATAACATGTGAAAATTTGACGGAGGATCCCAGTGAGCTTGGCCCTGGTATGGAGAGAAATGGCTATCAAAGATTAGCTTAAACTCCCCAGACGGGTCCCTGAGGGGGCATTGCCTACAACTGCTGCCCACCACCTTAAGCACTGAAGAAAAAGAACACACTGAACAGCTTGAAAAATCCTCATCTGAAACATCATTGACGACTACATCATAATAGCACCAGCAACGACCAGGGGCCAGGACCGCGAGACAGCTGACGTTAGCATCGGATGTATGTCAACATTTTCGCCTTACGTCTTATGCTTCATGCCTGATGCTCATGTATTTATATTATGGTCATTAAGGAATCCTCTACTTCCTCTTGTAAAATTTGTCTACTTAGCTTTGGGCAGATTGTTTAATGATTTTTTTCCTTAAACTCACAATGAATCCTTTAGTATTTAAAAGCAGCACAGTATATTTCTCTGAAGTATTATGCTTATGCAATGACTAGTGTTAGTCATATGGGGTCACTTGACGATTTATTTGGAGAAATGCTTTCCTTAGAACAGAATTACTTCACCCATCCCCATGGCTCAAAGTACTTCAAAGCAAACTCAACAGTTTTTGACGTTTTCTTCTGTAATGGAGAGATATCAAAGTTAAATAAATGTGCAAAATTCAACAATACCTTTGGAAAAATAAACGTCTCCTGTGTTTCCTGTTTATTCTCTTTTGCATAACTTTACATTTAACTGTCTCCATCTCCTTTGTCTTGTTTTCCTACAAGGCGTGGCCTCACCAACTTCATAAACTTCGTGCTTCTGCTTCTGCTGAATAGTTGTTGAAAGCTCACCTCTGACTTCAGTTACCTCATGGTATTCGATTCCCATCGCTCTTTAAAACCTTAATTCTCAAACTAATAGGCATGTGCGTCCTTTGCTTTTCTTCAGGGAGAATGATAAGTCAGCTCTAAGCACACTCTAAGTTCTAGTGCTTTATTCTTTCCCAGTTCTAATTCTGAATGTCCATTTTGCAGACATTTTTTACAGTTTGTAGACATCTGACCTTGCTATTTGTTTTTGCTGTTCTCATTGCTTCCCTTCTGACCATCTTGTTCAAAGTGGATGGCTCTGTCTTGCAACCTCACTGAGCCTACCTCAGCTTGAAACCTCACTTGGAAATATATTTTACATTTTGCAATTATCCTGATTTTTTAATTCTTTCGATTTTAAATTATTATCTGTACAGTATTTACAGAAGGTGTGAATGGCGACTACTTCTCTAAGCTTTTTTAAGCCCTAACTTCCATTGCCAGCAAGGCCGTTCATCAAGCAAAGTTTTTGCAGAGCAAATGTTTCCTGAGGGCTGCCGTGAAGGCTGACCCTCTGTGATTGATCTCCACAAGTCCCATCACATTAGACGGGTATTTACTAAGCCTGTGTGTGAACAGAGACTGAACTGTGTTGTGGGGACATGACAGGCAAGCGCACACCCTCCAGCTCAGAACACCGCAGGCGCGACGGTGGGTTTGTGGGAGAGAGGAACGTGGTTCATTGGGTCTATTACCACAACGCGGCTGGACTCACCTGTACCGTTAACCATGTCACAATAGCCTGACCAATAGGAGAGGTTCCTTAGGAGGAAAAAGAGAGAAAATGAACAAACATTCTCATTTCTCACATTACCTTGTCTGTTAGGATTCAATACTTCTGCTAAAATAATAAAGATCAGGCATGACAAATGCTGAGTTTCAGAAATGTGCTACAACATTCGGTCCATGTTTTGTTGGAAGCTTTCATCTCGTTGAGATAAACTAAGTGTCTGATACCATTAAGTGGCTAGATTGTAAAAATAAAAACTGCCAAACATTGTTAATTAGAAACAATTTGGAACAGACACAGTTCTGAGAAAAGAAAATTGAGAAACGGTTATCAGACGTTTAGATCTCTTCTTAGGAGAGCATTTCTTTCCAATGGGAGAAATGAATTATTAGGTAGTATGTTGAGAGTTCAGACTGAATGAGAGGAAAATATTAAGTAGCTGATGTAAGCTCAGTATGAGGGAGAGGAGGAGAGAAAGAGAAGCAGATGCTTGACCAATAGAGATTGGAAATGTAGATAATCAGTTTATACTTTCCCCCTTTTAACTCTTGCGTGAGCTGGCACTAAAGTAGGACAGAGTTTATTAATGTATACTCCGGTGTCTAGATAATATATATGTCTATATATCTGGAAGAAATAAAAACAACGGCAGTAATAGTTTCTCTGCATCTCAGCCACTTTATGGTGGTTGAAAAACTGTTTTTTCCCTTTCCTAACATCGTGCAGTGGAATGTCAACACAAGCTGATGCTCCTTTTTCAAACAGAATGAGCTGTTCATTGTGCTCAGTGTCGCACTGATCAGTTAAATTAACCCCATAATCTTAAACTGATGTGAAACTGTTACTCCAATTAGGAGCACTTAGCAGCTGTCCTGAAAACCTCGCCATAATGTTGAAATGGACGAAATGCTCATGTTCCTCAACCCACAAACAGTGATGCGACCTCCCCTGAAATGAGCGTTTAGAAGTGTTCGTTTTCCTCCACTAGATTTTTCCATGAAAATGTGTGACTACGTACTCTAGAAGAAAAAGTACTGGGCTAGTAAATATTCAACTGTTGTAACAGCTTTTAGATAGGGACTCGGTGGGGGGCAATGGTTACTTCTATTAATAAAAACGTTTCATCTCTTCCGATTTGATTATTCTTTTTCAGAAAATAACTGGTCTAAAGCATATTTATTAACTTTGAGGAGAATAAAAGAAAGCTTCCCTCTGATATTTATTGGGGTTCTTTCCAAAACGTGTATGATGTTATGTATCCTCCAGACAAATAGACAGGAGCTAGGAAAAGAAAGGAAACCATGGCCTTATGAACACATCTCATTCTATCACTACTACCGAGGGGCATGCTCTTTATTTTCAAGTGTAATACGTAAATTTCAGAACCGTACTTGAAATAAGAATTCCATTTTTTGCATTGACAAAGGTTCGAAAGAGCTGAGTTATCAATATAGAAAACGATTTCAAGAAATATTTGAAGGGGAAATCATGAAAGTGTTTGCATGGAGACATTAAGCTTCCGTCTTTATAGACACGTTCAGTCATGTCACTGTAATGAAAAATTTTTATTTGACGTGCTGAACAAAAAAATCCCAGTAAACTATGTCTACGTCCTGGAGATCAGCCCACGTGTTGCCCTCCCTCCTTATCACTGTGCCCGTCTAACTGCAGGGGTGCTCTGCAATGCGGGCGATGCAGCAGAGATGGAAGCAGTCCCCTTGGATTTCTTTATGCAAGAGGTTCTGTGCATAAAGGTAAACCAGACACTAAAGTGGGGCTGATGCTCAGCAGCCATGCACTAGTGTGTTCAGCTGTCACACTAAAAGGTGACGCCTGGCAGGACAGGAGTTTCCAGGCTGAGGGACAGGCAGGTCTATTGCACAGGCTGGCACCTGTGCTTTCTCAGTTGTTAAATGAATACCACTCCCACTTAGAGTGCCCAGTGACAGTGCACACGCACACACACTCTTTACCTGGATACTTACTTTTTACCTTTATAAGTGTTTATTATAGCAACCTTGCTTATGTTGTCTTTTCCAGTGAAAACTTGATAAACTCCATCTACAGTGTTGTTGTACTGAAAAGACGTACAAGAAAAAATTACTTCTAGAATAAGCCGTATCTTTCAAGTTATGAAACGTAATTAACTCACTTGTACATTTCCCAAACACAGTTAGTCATAATCATTTCATATGATTTGAAGTACATATGCGATAAAGTTTTAAAATTGTTGGTGGTTACCATTTTAGAAAGATAGGTTATAACAGGTGCCTAGAAATAAGTGCTGGATGCTGTGACACAGGAAGAAAGCAAACATCAGAAGTCGACATGATCTAAATCCAGTACGTTTTGTCACACCTAAGCCAGTGAGGCAATTCTGATCATTATTACATTGTATTGAGGTGAGAGGATATTGAACAAAACCTATGAGAACAATGGCAGGTTTCTAGAAGTATTCTAAATGTTACCATCTTTAATAAGAGGTTACTGAAAATTAGGTATAAAAAAATTAAAAACAGAATTAGCCAAAGAAAGAGTTGTGAATATTTGAGTTAAAAAAATAACTGAATCTCTGATCCTGTAAGGCTTTCTACATTCATAGGGAATTGACAAATAACTTGCAATCCTAAACACTATCTAAAAGTAAAATAACAACAATGGACTGGAGAATATAACTCAAGTCACATACAGCGCCAAATGAAATTGTAGTCAAAATGCCAATTCAATAACCTGCTTGTCCTATTTATAATTTAAAACATTAAGCGACAACTAAGTACATCACCGCGTTCACATTTTCTCCAAACTGCATTTCGTGACATCTGTGGACCCCTGGAAGTTCTTACTAACAAACTCCATTAAAATACTACATGGATGATTCATTAATTTCATTGCCTGCAAATTTAGTCTAACTTGTAAATTTACCTTAAAACAAATTTGTAAGGAGTCTAGAGAAGGAGAAATGATAGAATGAATCTATTTTAACACATAAAAATATGGTGTTAAACTTGATTTTTTGAGAAGGGGAATAAAAACTTAAAGCAGTGTTCAGAGCCTCACAGCTTACAACCCAACTTGAGACAAACTGCATATTGATCGAAGAGGGGAAAGCTGATGGAAGCTCAGCTTCTTAATTTTAAAGTTAACTGTTAAATTCAGATAAGGAAATTGTCCCAACTAGGAAAGCTGAAGCCATGTGAGAGAGGGGCTTTTAAAAAATTGGGGTATATATTCCCAGATCAGAAATAAATAGGGTTAACAAAGTAATTTATAAAATTATGAATTGCCAATGCTATTATGTTTACCCAATTAAAGCATAACAATATCAACGTTTATATTTGGTACTCACAGGATAAAACACACCAACTGTGGTAGGCACAGGGTACGGAACCAAACTCAAGAACGGGTCCTTGTAGCCCCACAAGAGTTCTTTCAAAGTTCTGGTTTGAAACATGGAAGATTTTGACTTTTTGATAAGTGAATTGAGCACTACTTGAACAAATGGATTTTCATAGAGATGAGCTGCCGCCTATAAAAAGAAAAAACAACACTGTGCAGCATCAATTGCAATATCCCATTTTTAACAAATAAATGGATTAAATACTAGAATTAGGTTTAATAAAAAAAATTTTTAACTGTATCTTTAAAACTACTGCCAAATCTTGCCAGGACTAAAAGTGTAATTTGTCTAATTCCTAGGTGATTGCATTTCTCTGCCTCAGTGCCGGCCACAAGAGAAAAACAAAGTTAAGTCCTTTTTTTTTTTTAGGATGCACTTTAACTGGTCTTCTAATTCAGTTGGTTTTTATACGATTTTGTCATCTTTCCAAATGACCATAGCTCCACTTAAAATAATAACATAGGAACACATTTTTATAAAAATGACAAAATAAGTATTTAATGATAGTTCTAATCAGGAGATTAATTATAGCAGATTTTAGAGTATTTCAAGACAAATAATTTTGTGGTTTTTCTACTCACCGCTACAGCCAGATTGAGAACAGTGAACGTGTCATTCTCTGTTCCAACGGAGAGTGAAGGTTCAAAGATAGCACCATGGGGCTGTACGAAGGAGACGGTGTGGTTCTCAGAGTCGTGGGTTATGTTTTCCTTGGCTAGATAACGAACTCTGCATAACAGAAGTAAATAAAATCAAAATAATTGTTTCAAGTGAACATTGGGTCTCAAACGCCATTCATTCATGCAACAAATAATTTGTGAGTAAATAGAACATGTCAGAAATTATGCTAAACAATTGGGTTAAAATGACAAATAAGCCAGTGCCAGGCCTCCAGCAAATTAGAGATGTGGGTCTTAAGTTTGCCTCTCAGGGGAGAAGTCGTATCTGTCATTGTGGGAGTTCACACAGAGCCCGAGGGGGACACAGAGCAGGTGTCAACCCAGGCTTGGGGTGGTCATGGTCGGGGGAAGGGTCAAGACCCATTTTGGTGGCGATTCCACCTAAGTGGTGTGAATGACAAATGGAAGTCTAGTTAGGTGAAATAGGTGGAAAGTAGACATCCAAACAACAAGGCGTATGTTCAGAAAGGCAGATAGTCAGACTGCAGAGTGAGAGTAAGGAGCACCGTGGGAAGGGAAGCCACGGCAGGGAGCCAGGTCTCAAACACAAAGGGTCGCATTCCACACCCAGGTGTGTGGCCTCGTCCTGAGGGCGAGGGGCAGACAGAGGGTTAAGCAGGAGAACATTAAGAGCCCATTTTCTTATATCAGAAAGGATGCTCACAGGACATAGCCTATCCAGTCACGGCTTTTCCACATTTTCCAGTATTTTATGGAGAATTAAAGATAACGAATGGAATACGATTCCCGGTTTACAGACCGACTGCCCATCGCCCTGCCCCCTGTGTGTTGAACACTTATTAGGTCTGAGCTCCTGGCTCTGACACCCCTACGCTGTAAAAACACCAAATGACTGTTTAGGAATGTGGTGAAGGGTGACGATTATGGAGAAAAGGCTTTTTGAGAAGGAAATATTCACAGAGATGAAATGAGATGTACACCGCTCATTGCACGACCACATAGTTGACTGACTGCTGTGTGAAGTGAAAACTAAGGTAAAGACCGAAAAAAATGGGACTGAAAGGGAAAAAAACACACACGCACATTTCACAAGGATGTCACAAAATGTAAATTCTCGTAGGAGAGGATTCAGAGGGTTTTATACCCCAAGTCCAGCCTCGTATGTGGAGAGTTCTCTATAACTGTTTTCTGAATGAATAAACTAATAGCTCACATTCTTCTAAAAGAACATTCACAGTCAGCTAGAAAGATATTTTGTTTTTCAAATAATTTTATTGAAATGTTATGATTTACTCTTCTTGGAGTACTGTAGACGCACAAGGAACAGAAAAGTCTGAAACAGCCCCCAGGACAGTGTGTTACTAGTCAATTACTATTTCTCTTGGATAATTGTATTCTAAAATTAGATTCCATGTTATTAACATTTAAAATTGAATACTTTAATTTTCAGGAACACTTATGTATATGTATAGCTATTGAAATAATAGCAAAATAATTGTGACCCAAATTCTAGAGCTTACTTAAATTGTACTCACAACATTTTACCAGTAGATGGCACTCCCTAAGAGAAAAACCTTTTAAACTGAGGACTGTGTTTAGAATGTACTTTTAAAAAGACAGCATAATCGCTCGGGTTTTGTTTAAAAATTAGAACGTATGCAGGTTTTGGAAAGTGTTGATTAATAAGGTCAAAGGGAGGAATCTGCCTCAGATTTTTCGCAAGATTGCTTTCTCTGTACTCCTGCCAAAGCAAAGTAAATTTAAAAAAAGCAAAGATTTATGTTAGACCTGAGGATATTCTGAAGGAGTTACTGAGTCTTCACAGAGGTGGTGCAGACGTAACATATAGAATTAAGATCTCAATCCAGGCAATATCATGCTTTGACCCGTGTCAGACCTCATCAATCAAAGTTGCATGGAACACACGTTAGCATCAGCCAAATGAGCCTGAGATTCTGTTCGAGAAGAGACGTCCCCCACGCTGCCAGTGTCAACTGGACTCAGGGTGTAATTCACGGGGAGCCAGCGTCACCTCAACACACGGAAGACTCTCAAACTATTAACTTTTTCTGAAAGGTGATCGGTTTCTCATGATTGAAGCCTTCCGAGCAGACACTGACGACTCCCTTTGGGAGACACTGTGAGACAACGGGTTTTCTAGGTGATCAGAAACCCTGTTCACGCTGTTCTATAAACAGGAGTTTATCATTTATAAGCTTCAGCTGCACATCCAACTTCTCCTCTCCAATCCTCCCCTCATTGCCTCTCCAAGTCAATCAAATAGATCTAATCCACCCCGCTTTGGTCTAAAAGCCTCTAAGAATAAAACGCATGTTTGCTGTCACCCATCGGAGGAAGACTAGGACTAGATTCAACGTTATGTTAAGGTTTCCCCATATCCCGAGAAATATCCTTAAAAGTAAAATAAATAAACTTCCCCAAACAAACAAAGCATTAAACAGAAAACATGCTAAGTTCTAAAATTCTAACTGCTCTTCTCTTTCCTCGCATGTATTCAGTTCACTCAGGGTTAGGAATTTTTAAACAATTCTGCTTAGGGTCTCATCAGGTCCCGTGAATTCTAGATTTTCACAGGTGCACATCAGAGCTATAGCATTTTTGGGGGACAACATATTCCTATAGGCTTTTGATAATAACATAAGAACCATAAGAACATGAAAAAATAAAAATATTTCCCAGGGTAAGATATTTCTTGTAACAATGAAGACCAAGTCTTCCGTGACAGAGGTGTGGGTAGTCACATGTGCATTGAGATGGGAGACCGGGGACCTTTGCTGGGACAGAGAAGGCCCCAAGGTCCCCTGCAGCTTTCAGATCACGCACGATGGCAGCAGGAAAACCCCCATCACCGCCATAATTTTGTTATATTTCGAGTGTGAGTTGTCAATCTAGAAACATATCAATGCGTGGAGAGGAAAGAAATTATAGAATTATAGACCATCTAAAACAGATAAGAGAGTAAGACTACGAATTATAAGAAATCATTACAAATATGAATTTTTGTGATAAGAATTGATGACAACGTATAACTAGGTGTCCTTATCCTCAAGGGAAAATCTCACGTTTGTATAACAAACAACACAGCAGGACTGGCTTTTTTCCCATATGGATATCATGAATATATTCCAAATCCTTGGGTAAAGTAAGTGTTTTCAGCACCTCCGTCTCCCGTTTTCTTACTTTGATAGTTGGAAAAGACACATGGTCTATAATTTAAATAGAGGAAAGGTATGCAGACAACTAGGAGGTACCAGCTCCCAGGTTTGTGTGAATATGGACCAATCACTTCACACGCCCTGCGGACTGCTTTTTAAATTTAAATGAAAAGTTCTGGTTAATCGCTTCCCCTGGTTCTAATTGTCAAAGATTCTATTCAGAAGGGTATTAAACTATTAGGGACTTGAGGATAAAGATGTAGCATAGACAGTCTCAGGACTGGAGAAAATAGAAGAATGAAACAGCTGAATAAATATAAACACCTTTATGACCTGGAAATTAGTTTGAATAGAAATCCCTAACAGGTGCTGTAGTTACATAAAGTCAGTTTAATGCCCTGGTTCTCACATGGAGTGTGTGTGGGCATCGCCCACAGGGTTTGTAAGACTCAGGACTGAGTCCAGCCCAACAGTCCCCAATTCATCTGGTCTGGGGCGTGGTCTGAGAATTTGCAATTTCTGCCAAGTTCCCAGGTGGTGCTGATGCTGCTGAGCCCTAGTTTGAGAACCACTGACAGAACATATCCGTTCAATTTTAGGATTTTAAAATTCTCTGGTTTTTAAATTCTGATAGACTTCTTTTTTGTATTCAGCACGCATATTTCAGAGTTATTGAGAATATAAGCCACAAGTGTGAAACACCTGTAACTTCGTAAATGTAGGGCAATTATTTGATGCTGGTAAATTTATAATAAGATCTGTATTTCTTATAATCATTAAATCCTTAGATTAGGATTCTATATAGGCAGAAACAAAATATTTCAAATTATACCACTGGCAAGCAAATAGTACGTACATTTCAATACAATAGAATTTGCTGATTGGAAGCCTTTTTAGAAATACATAGGGTCACGGAAAGCATGCCACTTAATTGGGGGGACCACTCACCTGTACGTGTATGGACCTCTTTGCATAAGCTTAATTTTGCTGCTGTTGACTGCCACTTCCTGTGGATTTTGCACATCAAAGATCCAAAACTGTCTGTAGACTTCTGTTCCCGTTTTAACCCAATTTTTAAAAGCAATTGTACCTTCTTCAAGGACAACTTCCTATGAAGAAGAAAACAAGTTTGGGTTATTTCTCTGTAGTAAATATGAGCACTTCCGGGAGTTTATGACCTTTGGTCAGTCAATGAAAGGACCAAGCTCAAATACCTTGTTCACGAGAAGCTTCGCAACCTTGCCACGCACTTGCAACAGAAATGTTCTCAACAAATTATTATTGCGATGTCTTTTGTTTAACCTTTCACAGAGAGAATCAGTGTGTAATACTGCAGATGTCTGCTGATTTAAGGCCAACCATTGGCAAGCTTTAGGGTGACCAGATGACAATATTGCAACAGCTAGTAACACACTTACTAGGCAAATTTTATCAGAGCCGTTCCAAAAAGTTCTTATCGGGTTGAACATTAACTTCTCTTCTGCCCTCCATGAGTTGCATTAATGATGCAAAACAGAAAAATCTAGTGGTACTGGAGGGTTTTTCGTTTTCTTCAAAAGTTGGGCATGATCACTTAACATTTATTAAATTAAGTAAACGAACACTTCTGGATGAAAAACACAAATTTGGCTTCTTCCCTTCAAAGTCCTGCTCAATATGGCTTCCCTAACTCTCAATATATTAGCAGCAACCCAATAGTACATATTTCCAAAAACAGCACATATTTCCAAAAATCACTTGATTATTGCTGTTGCCGGATGACAGTCCTTGTCGACATGACGGGCAACTTTAGGGCAATTATGCAAATGCCCTTGATGTCTTCCTATGCATGGAGTATGTAGAGTATGAATGTAGAACATACATTGTTCCATTTCTTAAGGATCTTATAAAGTACTAAGAGACAGACTCATATATAGCAGATTTTAATCGATGAGCTGTTCCCTTACCCTACCTCACCCTGACCAAGTATTTGTGAATACTTCCTTGAAAAGTATTTCACAGAAAAGGAGCCTAAAGAGGCCCATGAATACAGGAACAACCTGACCTATTTATTCCCTTCACCTGGAAGTGTCAATGTCTAATTCATTATTATAGGCTACTGCTCTTTAAATAAAAGGATGAAATGAGGAAGTCGTCCCATGATTCTTTCGTGGAATCTGCTAAAAATTGTTGATGTCCCTTGTAGTGAAGATAAACAAGTGGAAACAATACGAGTGACAGAATGAGGAAACCCTACAGTGAAAGCCTGTCCCCTTGCTCTAGGAGCCATGGGACTGAGTGAGTCACCGAACCCTCGGGGTGAGTGTCATTGTCTGTAAAGTGAAGGCGTTATCACAGATGCCCTCCCAGATTCTTTCCAGGCTGCCACGCTCTGAGCTGGATGTCTATGAGGTGTAGTAACTGGCACAAACGAAGCAGCATTTCCAATGAAGTGCTCTGGGAAGAATGCCCAGCATAGCAACCTCGCCCCCTCCCTCAGTGTGCCAGGGGAAGGGGTAGAAAAGAGCTTCGCAGAAATGAGCCTAAAGAGACCCAGGAACACAGGGACAATTGGACCCACGTTTCCTTCACCTGGAAGCATCGATTCGCAGAATCACAGATCAGGAAAGGTTGCTGAACATGATCACATCACCGAGTCGAGCCCTCAGGCTCAGAGCAAACAGGCGGGGGCCCAGGGGAATATCGGCGGACAGCAGCGGCCTCCTGATGAGAACTCTTGCCTCTGACCCTTAGACGTGTCCTCTTTTACACAATGCTGTTAGTGTCTTTATTTTTTTCCTGTCATCTCTGCACTTAGTTGGTAGAAGTCAAATTAAACCTCATATCTTCAGGATACTTTACTTATTGCTTAATGCAGAGCAGAGAATTCCTTAGAGAGCAGCAGGGCACCAGGCTAAAACACTATTACAAAACCCCCTGCTGTTGCGACGCGTTTCCCGTGGGGACACAGGAGCTGCTAAAGCAATGTCAGACCCTATTACTTTTACCACCAACTGTCCTTGAAAAGCTTTTAATTTGCTCTTAAAAAGTCTTATTTCCACGCTAACAAGCCCAATATGAAGACAAAATTGCATATAGATAAAGTCTTACGTCTATTCTTCTAAATGCAAAGTGTTTGACAGGGTATTGAAGCTGAAATCTGTATAGAAGCTGAAAGCTATGTTAACTTACCCATTTCAAGAGACTTTATGAGAGGAAAACACACACAAATGTACACACACACATTATTACTCTCACGCTATAAGAATCCTAAGAACTGATACAACACCAGTTATTTAACATGTGCTTCTCAAGGCACATAGTTTATTTCAGTTCTTAATGACAAGAATTAAATAAATGTTTACAGAACTGAAGAGGAACTGTGCTAGAATGCGCTTGGCAAGACAGAAAACCTCCTTCCCTTTAACGTGTGTGCATTTAATATCAAAAGATACTGTAAGTGTGTCCTGCCTTTCCTCCAAAGGCTGTGGATCACTCGCCTTATTTGTTGACATGGAGATACTTTAAAAACTTTGAAAGTTGAAACACAAGGAGTTGACATGGATGCATTGAATTATCACCTGTTAGAGTTGGGCTCATCTAACCTCGTCCAGGGAGAAATGAGTCCTAGAGGAAACAGGTGTCTGATTCAATGTTATAGGACAATTTAGTAGTAGATAATGGGGAAATTGGATCTTTTCAGTCCAATCCTGTGTAGCTTCCATGGCTCCATGGTTTGTTCAGAGACAAAGAGAAAAATCACACAAGCAGTCAAAATAGGAATGCATTTCTACCATATGCAGTATGAGAATATGGTATAGCCACTCCTTGAGTACAAAGACTAAATATCGTACAAGTTCCTTTAATTTTAAAAGGAGCAAACAATTTCATGTCCTTTGTGAACTTAAAAGGCCTTGATTTTATGTTGGATTTGGACTATCTAGTCTAGTTTGCAAATCTTTCACTAAATTTGAAGTACAAAGCTGATAATTATGAGCACAGAAAATGTAAGGTAACTTAAGATCCTCTCCCTTGGCTGATGTGTACATCAGTGTCTGTCTCTGACTTTAAGGTTGCAGACCACCCGACGTCGGTAATGACTGGATCCCAACTTGATGACTCGCACATGGCATGGTCTCCAGCTGGGTTGAAACCCGGTGACCTTGAAACTTCTATTTTGCCACATTAATTTGAAAGTGTATGTCTATGACAGTAACACCTTCTAACTAGTCCCAGCCTCATTTCATTATAGCTGTTGCAGGACAATAGTCCTCATCAACATGAGTGGCAACTGTAGAGTAATTATGCAAATGAGCTTGATGTCTTTCTGTGCATGGAGTATGTAGAATATGAATGTAGAAAATATATTGTCTCATTTCTCAAGTATCCTATAAAGTATTAAGAGACTCATATATGGCAGATTTTAATCTATGAGTTGGATTCCCTTACCCTTCCCTACCCTGACCAAGTGTAGAGGCTTCTTCACTCAAAGCTTGGAGTGACGTCATTATCAATGAAACTAGGTGCTAGGAGTTTGATCCTGAGTCTGGTCATGTGCTAACCATTTAACCTTGGGAACGTTATTCAATTTCTTTGTACCTCAGTTTCCTTATCAGTAGAATGGGGATAATAATAATAATATTAGGTTGAACCATATGAAATTAGTATTTTTGAGAATCAAAATAAGTCAAATATGGTTTAAATAAATATTTATCCTCATAGGTTGTTATAAGGATTGATAAATGTGAGCACTGAGAACAGTGTGAGCACATAGCAAGCATTCAATGAATGTTAGCGATTATTATTATACAAAGCCCATCCACCCTTTAGAGGGAGAATTACACCGTTTTCTCCCCAGACTGGTTACTGCTTCATTCCTAGTATTGCTGTCTAAACCAGTCATGTGGCAATAAGTCATGTAATATCCTGTGACTGACACTTTTTTCTGCTATTTAATCGTTTTTATATTTATTCTCTCTCCAGCGAGATCAGAACTTCCTTAAAAAGCAGAAATATACTGAAAAGAGTCTTCATCCTCCCCACGGTTTGTTCTGCTTGGGACCTGTGACAAGGAACTTCCCCATGTTCAAAAACACTCCTCCTCTGTGGACGCATCATGGGTGTGCGTGTGTGTGCGTGTGCATGTGTGCATGTGTGTGTGGGTGTGTGTGTGCGTGTGCACTCCGAGAAGGAGAGTGCATGAGGGCACTGGTGACAGCTGTGCTGAGAGTCGAAGAGTGGCTTTGGACTCAGATCATCAAGTCATCAATTAAAATATTGAATTGAACTTGGTGAAACCGATTGAATTTTATATGTTTCTAACATTCAGAAACTAGCCTCAGATAATTATTGTAAAGCCTAAGATGGGAGATTTATCTGTGGCCTGAAAAGTAAACCATGTTGGTTTTAAATTGAGGTGGAGGAAGAAAATGACACATGCTTACCTGCTAGTTCTTGAAATACTGTTTTTAAGTGATTTTATTATTGGAGTTAACATAATTTATTTTAAAACTGCTATTTTAATCTAAAATTTGTTTTGGCCTGTTTCGAGTTCTCATCTATTGTCATTAAATTTAAAACAAATTCTACCAGCTTTAATGGCTAACACTCTAGGCATTTCTTTTTGAGCTTTTTAGATATTATAAAAGCGTATAAATTATTTTACCATATCTGAAAACACTATAAGTGGATATTATGAAATTAATATAAGTATAAATTAATTTATATTATTAAAATGTGGACTGCTGATTCAAAAGTCTAGTCATTTTAATAAACATAAATTATTATTTCGATTTATTTATTTTATCTGATAGCATTTCTCAGAGGCTGCTAAAGGAGCATTTTTTTCAAGAGTGGGGAAAGGAAATGATGGTATAATTGAATGATGGCAAAATCAAACATTAGCCTTTAATAGGAAAAAAAGAGAAAACTTTATTTCCCTTCTTGGCATTCTATAGTTAATATCATAGGGAAATTAAATTAACATTTATTTTAAATTACGGCGTTACACAATATTCACTAAACATTTATCAAGTGATGTTAACAATGTCAAGTGATTAATTATCTTTTGTAAATGGTGGCAGGAGCCTGACCTTTTCCCAAAGTGCTTTGATATTCTCTACATCCACATCCGTGCTGCCCATGCTGTCGACTTTTAGTCTTACCCAGCAAGATCGCATGAACCCACTGGCTCCACGCAAAACTATTAGGAATCATTTAAAAATATTTGTGAGAAAGTTTTCAGCTATGAACCATAAAAAGCATGAATTCCCTAGAAACATCCCTTGGAAATAAAGAGTACAAATATATATATATATTCATATATATATATATATATATATATATTCAAAGTAAAATTTCTGGCCTATTTTAGACCATTTCAAGAGCTGGCATCAGGGTGCCATTTTTTAGAACTGGAAGGTATCATTGAGTTTCAAGTCTGCACTTTATTAATGAGATAAGATGAGATGATTTTCTGGCCTTTTCCGATTAAGCACTTTAATTCTTCTTCTTTTTTAATGGTGCTGTATATGGGCAATAACTTTCCCAATTTGCTATAAGTCAATTAAATGAAGAAAAGAATCTTCCATGAGTTTTAATGGTTTCAAACAAAAACTGCACAGTTCTAAAACTTATCCATATTTGTAAAATACCAGCATTAACGTCAGTGTTCCTGAGGCCGGGGTATGACACTTGGCTCCCTGGGTTTGCAAGTAATTCAGAGATTTGACTCTGACTACATGCCAAACAGATACATATACCAATCTCACTTTAAAAATAGTTGTGTAAACTAGAGAAAGGAGAAACAGTCTTATAGAAAAAAAAGTCCTAGCATCTTTATATTACTAAAATTGACAAGATCAACATGTCTGGATCGAAATCTCAGAGCAAAATCAGGCTTAGTAGCTGGGATAGAGAGTAACTATCCTTTAATAGTTTTTGGAACTCATTTTTCCCTCAAGTTTCCGTTTTTTTACCTCCTCCTTCTTCCAGAGTCTATTTTTGTAAAAGATTGCACAGATAACCCCTATTTCAAAAATAACAAGGGAAAACACCCTATTTCTTTATTTCATCCCCCCTTATGCCTCTACCCTACTGAAATTATCCTTTCAAAATCATTAGTGACCATGCTCTAACCATTATTTCCTTGATTTTCATCTTCCGGAAAACATTTTATTCTCCTTCCTGGAGTGCTAGCTTTCTATTAACTTCCAAAAAATTATACTCTTCTGTTTTTATTCTTCATATGAAATCATTTCTCTCCGTCTTCTGTTTTTGTCTGAATTCTGCGCAGATCCTGTAATAATTGCTCTACTCTTTTGTCTCTCCATTCAGACCCTCTAGAAGGCAAGTCTACCATTTAGTTTTATCTGTGGTCTCTAAAGGGATGGTCACATCTACCTGAGTGAGGACCTTTGAAATATACACTGGTGATCATATCAAACCTGTAAAACCTCTTTTATTCTCTGAAGGTGTACACGTCTAATAACTCAGCTGGATGTCCTGCAGCCCGTTCTTTTTACTCCACTCTCTCCTAATTTAGTCCCGCTATCCAAACAGCCCTAGCGCCCCTCACCCATCGGTTCTCTCTGTGCGCTCTGCCACACGAGACCAGAGCCCTTGTGTTATACAATGTACAGACTGTGCAAAGATCTTTCTAGAAGGGAGTCTAGAGCTCTCCTTGAGAGTAGTCATGTCCTACACAGTTTTCCTTGTTTTCCTATATTCGGTCTCCTTGCTTTCCAACCTTCCTTTTGTAGAAGCAGAGTGTACAAGACTGTCATCTAGTCTGCCCTCAGATGGCCTGGGTGTGCAAACTCACTCCTCCTCCCTTCGGCTAGGTGAGTGGGCCAGGGGATTTAAAGTCTCGTGACTTTTGTGGGTAACATTACAGTGCCTTCTCATAGATAGCTGTGAAGGTTAAATGAATGAGTATATATGAAGAGCTTAGCAACACTGAATAAATGCCAGCCATTTGATAATATTAATCTCCAAATGCAGGTTTTGGTAAGTCTTACGCCTACTGAAAAGCATGCACCAATTACGACTGCCTAGCACGTCATTAAATAGTCTTCCGCCTGATGTGCAAAGCTTCCTCAATCTGACCCGATGTTGCGTTTCTAATCATCTCTCCTGTTAATCCCATATTTTTGGCACAATCTCTGTATTCTTCCTGCCCTCTTCACAGCGTTTAGTTTCATTCCCACGACTTTTTCTACCCTGTTAATCCATCCTTCCACACCGTTCATAAAGTCCTCTTTGGACTTTCAAAATTCCACACTTCTTCAAAATCCAACTCAAGTTCCACCTTCTTCCTAAAGTTACTGAACACTCCGAGAGATTTATTTGTCTAAATCGCACTTATTTTTCCATACTATACACCCGGGAAGTGAATTCTAGAGTCTCACAGGTCCATTTTTTACTATTCCCCATTTAAATCTTACACTTGTCGAGATAAAATTCATTTTACTCTCTCTTAGTGGTTATACAATAGCAAATTTTGATGTCTCAAAACTCTTATTTTCTCACGATTAACTACCATGAGCTTTGGGATAAATATTCAACAACTTAAAATAGATGCTAGCACCTCACATGCCACGTAACAGAGTCTATATGGACTAACATTGTTGAATGAAGAAGAAGAAGAAAATACATGATGGATACTCAGCTACTGATCATCAATTATGTGTCAGAAAAAATAGTCTCACGCTAGAATGCTGCACACTGGGAGATTATTGTGGCTTTTCTATTTGGGAGAGTTTTACAAACGCGAAGTTGTAATCCTGGTGTTAGCACACACACTGACCCTGTTCTCTCTCCGCAGAAGATCCAGAAGAGAAGCCCCGGTAGAGAGCAGGGAGGGTGTCGGGGCAACAGCAACTCCATCTCACACTGTTGGATAGACTCCCTCACCATCACTTGTCTCTCTCATGGACTCCATGAAAACTATTGTCAAGAAAACTGGGAATCCCAAGGCAAGGGGTGAGGCAATTTATAGTATTTTTTTCAGCTAAATGTATGCGGTTTAAGATTTCAGTCTGTTAGCAATAGAAAAGATAGAAATGACTATATTATTGAGCAAATGTGGCATGCAAGTATAGGAACTACCACCTTAAAAATGTCCATTGTCCCATCTTTTATAGTAAGACAACAGCCATAAGGGTACAGTGAGATGATTTCTTTTAACTTTAAAGTCTTTAGCATTTTTAGCTAAAGAAAGAAACTTCAGAAAATAGTACCTGTGTGTCACCAGTAACTAGATTTGAAATTGTCTTCATATTAATTTGTCAATTAAGTCAATGTCTCAGTGAAATAAAACGGTAACTTTATGTTCTTAGTAAGAGCAAGACGTGAAACACGGATGAATGGACGAGAGAGAGAAAGGTCTTGGGGTTAACAGAAATTCCAGTATGAACTGGTAGGTAGGGTTAGCCCATTTCCTGATTCATTTCTTGTTCTGCACTGTGCCCTATGCTTATTAACCCTCTGTCTAGATTACTGACCTCCAGCCAGGCTGAGAGCTGAGGTCTTCACTCAGATATGTTTTATTTGGCCAAGATTATGTTTAAAAACCTAAACATACATGCCTCCAGGCAGGGCACATGCTCAAATTCACAATAGTTCCTGCACTTCATTTCATCTTGTTCTTGGCAGCTTCACTTTTTTTCTTATTTGAAATCCTATCTTCAAACTCCCGAAGCCATTTGAATTTGCCATCCCTTGATTTAGGACTTTAGCAGATCTGCATTTATTCTGGTCCTGCCTCTGTCTATCAATTACAGTTGGTGAGCGTGAAGCTGATTAGAAGGGACTCGAGTGGGATGTGGATTCTAACTTGTGCAAAGACATATACTGAGCTATGTCTTACCTAACATTTCTAAAAGTATGGTCTAAGGGTCAAATATAAAACTTCATAAATAGCAAGTATTTATAAGGAAATCATATATTATTACATATTTTCTAAAGAGTTGTAGTTTGCCAAACAAAAAATAATTTACCAGTTTTACCAAAGATTCTTGCCTCCATATTAAATCATCTTTGTGATATATATGAAACATGATTTTACTTTTATTCATATTAACCAAAGTGCAGCCTCTTTTATAAATGTACCCTCCTAAATTCACTTACTTATTTCTCATTGAAAAGCGTATCAACATACTTTTAGGACATAATTAGAAGCAATTATTTCTACTGACCTGCAAACCTATAAACAGCTTCTATCAGAATTTAGATGTTTATACTTAAGACAGCACTGTGCTCGTGTTACATATGCATTCTACTTTTAATATTTCTCTATGACATAGAGTCACAGTGGTTCGTAATCACCTTCGTGTTGAAGACACAAAATTGCCAGTTACCGCGAAATACAGACACTCAAAGCAAAAGACGGACAGAAGATGGAATGAATCAGAATGGCAAGAAATATCCATTAGATGATTTGTACCTTTTTAATTGTCTTCTGAATAATCATGTCCCCAACTGGCATTAGAATACCTCCCAAGACAGCCAGGACCGCACCAATGACGGCGCCTGTGATGAGACCACAGTTTCTGTCACAGCCCATGCTTCTTCTTCGGGGGAAACTGAGGTATAGCACCTGCTTCTTTCAGACTCACAGATCTGCGTAAGGCGGTTTCCAAGGGGTCTGGTTCTATCATTACAACAAGATCATAAAACAGAAGCTTAAATATCAGTATAAAAAGATCAAAGTGCGAAGAAAACATGCAGTGGAAACATCATTTTGCCAGCTACAGATAAAGAAATGCTTTTCTTTTTTTCTCTTTCTTTTTTGGTGAGGAAGATTGGCCCTGAGCTACCATCTGTTGCCAATTTTCCTCTTTTTGCTTGAGGAAAACTGGCCCTGAGCTAACCCCTGTGCCCATCTTCCTCTATTTTGTATGTGGGATGCCACCACAGCATGGCTTGATGAGCAGTATGCAGGTCCCCGCCTGGGATCCAAACACATAAACCCCAGGCCACTGAAGTGTAGCACAAAACCCTATCTAAGGAGCACACGCTCCCTGCACTGGCACCCTTGTCCACCTTCCCTTAGCCAGGGACACTGAGCTGCATCTTCAGCCTTTCATCTGCCTTCACCCCCCACCACAGCCATCCACAGGCTCCCTGGAACTCTCCTGCAAGCTGAATGTGGGTGCCTGAGGCCTCCTACATCTAAAATGCCAGGAGAGAATGGTGACCGATGTTTTCTTTACCTTCTTCACAAATTGACAGCAAGATGTCGATTTTACAGGAAGGGAGCTGATGAGTCTCAGGAAGAATTAATTTTTCTAATCATTTGTAAGCTATCTGTTAAGACAAAAAAGCACGGGTAAATTTGGGGAAAAATACTGTCAGAAAATTAATACTAGAATACTCTCTAATATCACCAAAATTATAATCAGGATTAAAAGAAAATCCCATTTTCATGAATGCTGAGCTCATGCTCGAATTGTTTCTTATAAACACTGTTGAGAACAAATATTTTGAAGAAGTGTCCTTCACTTTCAATTTCATTGTTAATAATTGACTTTTGGATAGGTACAAAGAATTTGAAGAAAATATATATTGTAGAGAATGCTTAGTTTGGTAGGCTTTGCTTTCTTACTAGCCTCAAATATTTTTTTTTTTTCTTTACAAATTCAACTGCAATATTGTTCATTTTGTCATGGGCAATTGATTCATGCCAATTCTGTAAAAGTCAAGTAGTCTGTGCTAGTATGTATTTCACCTAGTCAATCTTATGTTTTTTAAAATTTTTATTGAGATTATGATAGTTTACAACCTTGTCAATCTTATTTTTGATATCTTTATACAATATGTGGTTATTTTCTAAAGATTGGAAGAAAACGATTTGTGGAATAAGTGGATCCTGTTGTAACAGAATTAATGAGAATTTATTACTTCTGACAAACGTTTGAAAACACATTCATTTGAGTTATTTTGGTTGCAGCTGCCTTTTCTTTAAATAGGGTTGACTTGCCATTGATAAACAGTCAGAATATGCTTTGTAGATTATAAACAAATATTCCTGACAAATAAAAATGGCAAGAAATAGGATATATTGGAGAATATGAGGAAGCCATTTTGTGTAAACCTAATTCAGCCTGACCTTGTCTTTCCAAAAGGGCCTGACCATGGCCGTTGAGCATGCATTATATATCTGCTTTAGAGATTCCCTATGGCAAGAACAAAGGCCCTTGAGATAAAGGTGCAACTTCTCTCCCCCTCTGAACGTTGGCATCTCCTTAAAGATTAAGCATCTTTCTTTAGGCTGGGAACCGATTGCAGCGCTCATCTGTGACCGCCCGCCCGAGGCAACACACCTGCCACCCCGATGCGTTCACTGACAGAGCAGCCTCACTGACAGAGCAGCCTCGTGACTATTGTAAAAGGGACATTTCAATCATATGTGAAACACCCTCTTTGAGGGTATATAACCACCCTGTGTACCCCACTTCTTTGGAGTGCTCTGTTTCTTGTGGAAAGACTCTCCCGGGTTATAATCCTCAGATTTAAGCTCAGAATAAACTCACCCAAATTTTCATTTATAGATTGGCTATGGATTATTTTCATCGACATTCCCACTTCAAAATGTTCGTGACCAAAGAAAACGTAAATGCCCCCAGAATGGAGGCTGCAGACAAAAAAAGGCACCCACAGAGCATTTTTGTGAACACTGTAAGAGTAATAATAAACATGGTACTTGGTTATGGTCTCAGATTTTCCCTCCATAGCCCTGCTGTAACAGAAGTACCACTTTTAGGATTTTTTTGGTATTTATTTCCACTTGAGGAACCATTTAGTTTTCCAAATGTATTAGTTGCATAGCTAAGAAAATTATGGTAAGGAAATAAATAAGACTTTTCCCCAAAATGGAGAAAGATAAATGTTACAAAATTTTTTATGGTAATTTATTTTTACTCTTTCTTACCCTTTGGGATTCCCTTTTACATATGCCTTATACCTAGGGTGCTTCCACTTAAATCAGGATGCAACCAACTCATTCACACTGAGGTGCTGATGGCCAAGAAGCTTGAATAGTCATTAACATCACGTTTTTTCCAACGTAAATGACAAACACATTAGCTTAACAAGTGATTTATTTTCCCTGTGTTATTTTAGGTCTCACTGAGCAAGTTGGGTTGGCTTTTTGTTAACTGCTTGGGGCGGAGTGTGGAGGAGCTTCCATGCCCTCTGGCCAGGGTTGTCCTGATGCAATGGAACAAGGTATTTAAGGCTGATATAAGGTTTAGATATTATCAAGCACAATTTCCTTTGCAAAGCATAATGGTATAGTGCCTTACAATTTTCTCTAAACATAATCTTTTAAACAACCATAATAATTGCCAAGTAGAGAATATCATCTTGGTGTTCTGTATACTGTGAACAAATAATCATAGTCAGGGTAGCTTATCAAGCAATACTTTGCTGAACACCCATTTCATACACTATCCCCCAATTCTCATTTGCAAGTTATACTTAAGGCAGCCCTCAAAATATGGGGAACCAACCCGGTGTAATTGAGATCAGCAGATTAAACCAGAAACTGATTTGCTGCTCTCTTGCCAGGTGACCATGGAGAAGCTGCTTAATCTCTCTATCCATCGATTTCCTCATGTGTAAAGTAAGGTGCTAAGATGAGGTCAGCAGTTTTTAGTTGAAACAGCTGACTTGGTTCTTCACTCAGATTCCTACACGGAAGCCCAACAGGCAGAGCGACTGTGATGGCAGCTGTGGTGGGGACCCAGAGATCCTGCTTCCTGACTTGGTTTCTCCACTCCCATGTGACACTCCTGTCCCACTTTAGGGAACTCTGGGAGGATCTCTGCAGATATCTATGTCTTTCAAACCCATTTAAAAATTGGGATGGGAAATCCCCAATGTCACACTCCACTTTTGTTTATAGGACATCATGAATCCAATAAAAACATACAACTTTCTTAAGTCTATATGGCGATCAATGGTATCCTTTCAGTTTATAGATTATAAATCCTATTCCTTTTGTAGAATCTGTGAGTGTATCACATTCCCTTGGGCTATCTTTGAAAGAAGGAAGAACAGAATTTTTCTTTTTCTGCTCTCAAATTAATGGAGTGCTTCTAGAACGAACTTCTGAGCGTTATGCCTTTCCATGGTATCGGAAATCTGGTCGTAGAAAAAGAGACTGAGCTCTGATAAATAGGTCAGAAAATGAGACACAATTTCCAGAGAATCTGCAACGATTCCTGTGTGTGGATAAAGCTGTGTTACCAGGAAAACTCCACCCAGAAAAGGCCTGGCCCCGGGGCAACATTCCGGGGTATGTGAACCACAGGTCTGGAAGAAGCGCCAGACCATGAGAGTCCTTAAGCCGTGGACTGGAGCCAGGACCTGGGTGACACGTCTCACTCGTGAGCGAGGACCTCAGATTTCCTATTCTCTCCATTAGCCGGCCTTCCACTCCTCCTCAGACTAGAAAACCAGACCACACACTTCTGTTTTCCACTGCACACACACTGTTCTTTTGAGACACAGTCTTCCTTACCTAATAAATCTCTATCTGCCCACAAAACCAATTTTTGGAGATTTAGCAGGTGATTAATCCAATAACAGGCTAGATATGAACACTGAAAGTCAGTGTTCAAAATTAATTAAAGTCCTTTTCACACTCCTACCCCACCCCATATCTAGATGTGTTCATGAAGTCATGATTCCCTAGACATGAGAAAGATGTGCGTTTGAATTCAAGCTGGTTGAAATGGGTGTAAATAAATCATTTAAACCCAGTTATATTTCATCATGTGGAAATAGAAGGTCAGTAGACCAGTACTTCATAAACTTCTGTTCAGAGAGAAAATTCTCGTTTCAAATTAAATCACGTGAAATCCCAATATATGAATACAGTGAAATGAAAAGCTATTTTGGTAAAAGGGGGCAGGAAATGCAGCCTTTCCCCACCCAGTCACACCTCGCTTGAGTTCTGAGTCATCCCCGCAGAAACCGAGGGCTCTGTAGAAAATTTCTAAATGACTAGACTAGGAGATCTCTAACATCTTTTCTTGTTGAAGTTACCACAATCCTTTTAATTTATATGTGGATTTCCATCCTACCAGAATATATGGAGGTAAAAATACATAACAGAAAAAAATTTACAGACATCTGTAATATAAAACAATAGTACACTTCACTAAATTACGCTTTTCAAATATTACAATTTGAAACTTGCTTTGATGGTAGTCTTAAGAAATTAAGACAATAAGTATACTGGACTTCACATATTATACTAAGGATCCTTCTAGAAACAAGCCTATCATTTGGAGTACTTTTCGGAGTATCTGATTACATGGATTACTGCAGGTTTGAAATCATTTTATTAGAGTCACGTGGGTTTTAAAAAGGATTATCTAGAGCCATTCTTGATATTTGAATCCTAAACGGAAATGCTATCTTTTTTTTTTCACCCCAATTCTACTATAAACAGTGAGGATATGATTTGCAATGGTTAAGAGTCTGGACTTTGAAGTCAGGTAATTTAGGTTAATTTCTGGGTCTTACTATTACAGTTTCTCTGTGGCTCAATTTTCTCTAAAATGGGTGTATTAGACATCACGCTTGCAAATGTCAAATAAATGTATATAGTTTACAAAACACATAGATTACAGTAAAATCTGATGAGATAAGGTATTCTTTCTATGTTCAAGAACTAAGAATATCATGCAAAAGGGAAGGTAGCTACAAGGTTAGCACAATGCTGCTTGAAACTTTTAGCCATGACTTGGGCCGGTGAACTAACACAACTTGTGATTAAATTAGAAAATAACCACAGAATTAGTTTCTTTGGGAAGAAAAACCCACAAGATTCAAACGTATTTGAGTAAACATGGCCAACATTATCATAAAAAATAAGGGTGGCAACTATAACTTCCAAGGTAAATTGCAAATTTTTCAGTGTACTCTGTCCAAGTACTTCTTCAGTTCAATTATGAGACGCCCCCCAGGCTAACCTGTTATCTGATGATTGTTTGATGATTTATTGTTCTGGTAAATGAAAAAATTTGTACATATTTTTTTCTGTCCTAAAATTCAATGGACCATTAAACTCTCTACATAATAAAAATTTTTTAAATTTCATTTTAGTGATTTTATGAACCAATATTAAAAGCTATGTTTCTTTCAGATTCAAAAGACATTACTAACGTTAAACCACGTGGGGAAGAACCGAAAAGTACATGCAAACATTTTAAAAACATCTTTCAATATGTTACTTGATAATTCCAGAAACTAAGATTTAATCTAGAGAATCTATGCCATTCACAGTTAGGCACAAATTCACTTTCTGTAATTAAATTGAAACTTTTAATTTCCCCAAAATCATTTATCCTTTACTTAAACTTGGTATCATCATTCAAGAAAATAATTTGTTGACATTTGTAATAAGCTTCCTAAATAGCCAAAAATGTTAATTTTAGTTTATTTTTATTCTACAAAACTTTATACAATTTACACTAATTAATTAAATCTAGAGTCATTATTTGGAATTAATATAATTTAACATTCCCAGTAGCAATTACAATATCTTTGTTTATTTTTAAAAAATGCTTAGTAAGAACATATACAAAATACACACTGCATTTAACCATGTAGGCAAAGTCAGACTCACCAAAAATTGTGCAAATCTGATAGAAAATTAAACAAACTAATGGCTGTGTAAAGTATTAAGTAGCTAACAATTGCATACTAGAGAGCACATTGAGGTAAGAGTGGCAGGTCACGTAAAACAACTAATCTTACTATGTTGATTTTTATTTATGATGATTTTCATTCATAATTTAAATAAAAAATCACGTGTAGCTTAAGTGTACATTGAAAGTTTTACAATAATCAGATTGGATTGTAAGTCATTTCCAATATTAACAAAGAAATGTTTAGAGATACACATAAGGTTATAAATATCAAGAAGTGAAATGTTGTTCACCATTGGACGAGGTTTTAATATTTTTTCAGCATAAGATGTAGGAAGATTGATGACTTGGAAAGCAACACAAACTAATTTTTAAGTAAAGCCCAGTGGTTTTAAGAAAATAGTTACTGCTTTTTGTTGTTGTATAACTTCTTAATAGTGTTGATATAGTACTATCTCCTCATTTGGAAGAGAGAATTTCTCTTTTATTAAAAAGAATCATATGACTTACCTGCAAAAAGGCTAAGAAGAACTTTTCAACCAAAAGCTCCAACATTTGAATAGGTAACTCTTAGTAGAACCAAATAGTATTCTGCAGAAAAGCCCTGCACTGAATCCTCATTACATAAAGTGTGTGAGTTTAAATATGCTTCAAAAAAAAGACCTCAACGTCAGATGCTAATGAGTGATTTGTTGCCAGAGGAATTGAGAAAAAAAAAAGAAACCCACACACATCACACTACTAGCAGGGCCTCCGGGTCTATTTTTGTGGCCGGGTGAGGACCGATTACCTATATCTGAGAGAGTCAGCAGCTCTTTTTTTTTTCTTGGCCATTTCCCTGTCCAAGTAAGTCAGAGGTTGGAGAGACAAAAAAACTGACTTGCTGAGCTGCCTCTAATCTATTCCGCTTTATTACACAACGATCATTCCAGATGATGAACTGGGTCAGCGGGTGGAAAGTGTAAATTGGGGAGAACAGTTTGAGCCTAACTTCCCTGTCATGACTTAGCTTGCTCGAATCATCTCATGAAGTTTAAACAAAATGCATTTTTCTATACAGCATTAATCTGGACTGTGTTGAGACTGATAATTTTGAAAACAATTGGAGACTGTCAATCAGTGAGGATGACAGACCTTAAAAAAGGAAATAGCCTATTGTTCTAACTGACAGCTTCAATTGTTTGTCATTTTCTGTAAATATTACAGAACTTTCAAGAGCACATCAAAATCTTCCTATGAAAACAAAAAAATTAAACTTCTCTTAAATTTCTTCAGCCAAAATACGATTAAACAACATTTAAACAGAATCATGATTTAGGATGACCTTTGAATATAAAAAAGTATATACTTAAGTTACTTCAAAAGAAAGTCATTATTTTTAAATCTAATAAAAACAGAAGGACTTGCCCTTTGGGGAAAAGAAAGACCCTCGATATTAAGAATCCATTCTTAGAAAGGAATTCTCGGAATCACAGAGGCAAAATAAAAATCTCAGAATGTTAAACTGCCATCCGTCAGCTGCATAATTCCCTCCAGGTCAAGCCTGAAATAAAGCAACGTAACAACGGCAGGCAGAACATATTTAGTCCATTAGATCATAGTTAACGAGTCCTTCTCACTGGACCACCGGCTGCTCCTGGGGCATGTGGTGGCTCCTTCATGTCAACCGTGCAGTCCAACTGGAAAGGAATCTGAAACTCTCTTTTTCTGGGGCATTTTGACTGACACATTTATTTAGAAATTAATAATAAGTGATAAAATACCTTAGGTAGATTGGGATTGTTTTCCAAATTTCAGACCGCTTAATTAGGGCCAAGTAGAAATGGCCTTGCACAACCTCATGCGGATTTATGCTTTTCATCTTAAAAGAATGATTTATAGAGATTTCAGCAATCTTAAAAAGATGATTCCCTTGTAACTGTGACCTTTTATCTTTGTGGTATTAGGTGAAAAGGTAGTGTAAAGGCTAATTTAGTAAATATTTTGATTAAGAATCTCTATTTTGTTATATTTAAGCTGCTTCAATATATTTTCTTCTTAACCTTAATTCTCACATACACACACACCCCCCGCCCAATGTGACCATTCAGAAATAGCTCACCGTCACGGGACTTCAGACAGGACCTATTTTAAAGGATGTATTTTAAACATATTGAAATGCCGGTTAAATAATAATGAAAATATGAAGACTGCTAGAGAAGGATATTTCAGAAAAATGCGTGCAAAGTTGACGCCTAAGTTGACCCTGCACTTACTTGGATCCTTTTTAATCAGCAGCCTAACGCCATGCGATTCTCTGACTGTCTCTGGAGAGGGAAATGTCACACCCTCCCCTGAGCAGTCAGAGAATCCAAAAGACACTCCCAGAGGCCAACGCTTGGCGTTCAGTCCCACAGACAACAGCTCCTGGGCAGTTTGACACACAAGGCCCAGGAAGCACAAGCAAAGGAGAATCTGAAACCATGTGTTCAGATTTTGAGCAAGATGCACACCTTGAACAATAAGACAGAAAAATGCTGCACCCATCTCAGAGTAAAGAATGTTGGGGTTTTCATTTAAAAAGATTACATGCCCACGACATTGTGAAGAGATGTGACTTATATGAGGGTTTAACTTGTCTGATGGAAATTCACGATAGCACCAGATAAATTTAGGAGAACGAAGCATAAAATATTCGGTTTACTGAAGTCAGTTCGGGCACTTTTTTTTGGTGAGAGACCACATAGGGTTGGGAATCAGACAAGTGAAACCCGATGTGACCAGGCACTAGTTATATTGACTGGAATTAGGAGTTAAATAACTCCTTACTCTTATTTTCTTAGTCAAAAATGGGGGAGAACCAACGAAGAAGGTGACAATAAGAATTAAATAAGGCGAGTTGTGTGCCATGCTCCACGCTCAACGGTGGCGATTCCCAGGCTCTCACAGGGGTTTCCTTCCTCTGGGGCCCCTCCTCTTTCTCCCTGCCCTGCTGTTTTCTGCAGATTACACAGCACCATCAGACGTGCCATTGACTTATTTTTCTGACCTGCTTCTGCCTCTGCTTGCAAATTGGCTCCAGGACAAGGGGCCACTTGTCTGTTTGGTTCACTGCTGAATGCCGGGAGTACAGACCAGGCTCATGGCTGGTACTCAGCTGAAGGAATGGACACACACAACGATGTGATCACAACCATAATAATATTTTGGAAAGAGTGAGGATGACCAGAAGTCAGAGGTTATCGTGCTGCTTGTTCATAGCACGAATCCGCAGTGGTTTCATTGGGATGAAGAGCGTCTGCTACAGAAGCAACCGGACCTGAGCTTGCACTTGGAAGTCGTCACTTCCTCGAGAGCCTGGCTTCTTGCTAACTCCTTTAGCTCTCTTAGCCCCACTGGAAGTATTTCCCTCTCAGAGTTGTTGTAAAGATCCAAAGTGATAACGTGAAGGACTTAGTGCACAGCCTGACATACAGTGTTTGCTTAATAAATAATTGCTATGGTGATCCTTGGCTATTAAGCAAATTTTTATTTTACAGGATTTATTAAAGTAATATGAACAAGTAAGAAATATTGAAAATTATAGAAAAGCATAAAATAAGAAGTCTCTTTCAACCCTCAATTCTATTCCTCCGAAGTAACGCATGTTAGGTGTGTTCCCACACCCCCAGCTATGTTATGAAGTTTAAACCATATACATGTGTGTGTGGGATAATACACACACTGAATCATACTTTCTGCAACTTGCCTCCACTCATGCTGTGTGCCTTGGAGATGTTCTGAGATCACTGACAGACCTAACTGTCTCTTTTTCCATTATTGAAAAATATTCCAGAGTAAATGATGTACTGTCCTTTAAATGACCAGTCTCCTGTTGCATGAATATTTTTTGTTGTCTCTAGTTCTTTGACCTTATGAAAACAATCCTAAAACTTCATGGACCCCTAATTTTGTTACCTGTTCTAGGACACCAGTAAACAGCAGAAAGTAAAATTTCTGGGTCAAAACTGTGTCCTTTTATTTTTTGTAGGGAGAGTTTTACCAAATTTCTGTTCACACATGTACACAACAGTGTGCGAGAATGCCTGTCTGCATACATCACTCACTCTGGTTTACACTGAACTTTAAGTTGTTAACAAATACTTTTTTTATTGGTAAATATTTGACTGAGTGAAGTTTAATCTGTTTTCTTAAGTATATTGGCCATTTATATTTAAAATATTTGTGATAATATCCTTATTCATCTTTTTTTCAACAGATTTGTCTTTTCCTTATTAATTAGTAAGGAAATAGCCGGTCTTCTGACATTTGACAATTTTTTTAAATTTTTGACTGTTCTTAACTTTTATAGTATTTTTAAGTTACCAAAATTTTCAATTTTTATGCCACTAACTTTCACAGTAATTTCCTTCTAAGTAGTGTGTCATGCTTTGAAAGTCTTTCTCCACTTCCGGAATATGAAAAATAAACTTTCTTCCAGCATTTGTATGATTTTTAAAACCCTTATAACGGTATTTTTAAATAAGCTGATTCATGGAATTTGACGCTCGTGAAGGAAAAGAGGAAGAGTAAAGTAAGTTGAGTAACATAAATATTGCAACATATTTGGGAAGCAGACCATAGATGCATGGTAAGAGTTCCAGAAGCGAGATCACGTGACCCGACGTCTGATCACAGCTTGATTAACAACGGGATTGTGAACTGGGTGACACACAGCCATCATATTCCTGATTTCCCCTCTCGTCAAAGAGGATAGCCACAGAGTCTACCTACACCCTCAAGCTGAAGATCAAATCAGATGGCAGATTTAAACTTAAAAACGTAAAGCTGTAGGCAGCTTCTACGCAGTAGACAAAATTTGTAAAGTGATTCATTTCTTCTTTTACAGTTCAGCAAATGAAAAGAAGAATCTTGGTCTAAGATGCATGGCAATTCTAGATTGTACGGGAAAGCACAGACTTATAAATAAACGATGATGACACAAGGACAGAGTTAACACACAGTGGGGCTTGCCATCTGCCAGTTGTGAAACTAAAGCATCTCACACGTTGCCTCGTTGACCTGTCACACCACCTGACCAGGCTCTGCAGACAAGCAGCTGTGGTCACACAGCCAGAATTTGCCAAAACAGCAGTGAAAACCCACACAGACTGACTGGAGAGCTACACTCTTTTCTGAAAGAAAAAAACAACAACAACAAAAGATGGAAATTCTTCATCGGTACCTAATTTTACATATTCTTTTCAACACATTTATAGAAATTGAATAATTTTAAATAAGCTGATATTAGATGGAGAGGAAAATGATATCTAAAGACCACAAACAAGGAACGAACAGTGAGCATATTCTATATGTGACAATAACAGAATGATCTTGAGATTAAATAAATAAAATCCATTCTAAAGCCCTGTGAACTACCTCAACACATTCGTTACCAGTGTAAGACTGTAAAGTAAAATTTGTTTTATCACAATAATCCTTGAGGATAACTAACCAAGGAGATTTTATGCACACACACATACTTATGCACATGTATAGACATGATTCTATGTGGCCGTATATATTTATGAACACATATCTATTTTTTCAACTGCTGCCTTGGTTGTTTATGGAAGTATTAAACCAATGGCATATTCTACCTGTTTTGAATAGTGAGGAGG